CACGCTTGCTCACGCGGAACCCACCCAGAGAAGCGCCCTATGCCGCGGCGCAACTCAGCCTGTGCCCACCCGTTGAGGAGCATTGCCCCCCTATAGTAGATAAATAAACATACACCCCAACACCGAGATGCATGGTCAAGGTGGATCTTCGTAAGGCCTATGACACTATTTCATGGGATTTTCTTGATAAGGTGCTCAAGGGCTTGGGCTTCCCTTTGAGATTTGTTGAATGGATTATAGCATGCGTCACGTCTGCATCTTTTTCTGTTTCATTGAATGGGTCGCTATATGGATTCTTTGAGGGTAAAAGGGGCATTCGACAAGGAGATCCAATGTCTCCTTTATTGTTTGTGTTGTGCCTTGAGTACTTATCCCGATCACTCAACTTGAGAACAAATGCACCCAATTTTAATTTTCACCCTAAATGTGCACCATTGCGAATCTCCCACTTGGCCTATGCTGATGACCTTATGTTGTTCTCTAGGGGCGACAAGAGCTCTATTGAAATTCTCGTCAAAGCCCTACAAGATTTTGGGGACGCATCGGGTCTTAGGGTGAATTACAATAAATCAAACATCTTCGTGGGGGGTGTGAATGAATTTGAACTCCAAAACATTTTGGACATTGTAGACTTTGGGCAAGGAAATTTCCCGGTCAAGTACCTTGGAATTCCCCTTGCCCCACTTAAAGTATCGGTGGCCCAATATGCCCCTCTAATTGATACGATCTTAGAATTCTTAAATGCTTGGAATACGAAAACTATTTCTTATGCCGGGAAATTCGAGCTAATAAGATCAGTGATCTAAGGGGTCCAATCGTTTTGGCTACAAGTTTTTCCGGTACCTCGAGCTATTCTAGATAGAATTGTATCCATTTGTCGTATATTATTATGGGGAGGGAAATTTGCGAAAGTGGCATGGGACGACATTTGCCTCCCAAAAGAGGAGGGGGGTCTTGGTATACATAATGCAAAAATTTGGAATCAAGCCCTCCTTTCTCGTACACTATGGGATGTCCACCTAAAAAAGGACACCTTGTGGGTGAAGTGGGTAAATGGCATCTACCTTAAGGGTAAGTGTGTGTGGGAATTCGTCCCACACAATCGGGATTCGATGTTTATGAAGAATTTGGCGACCATACGCGATAATATCAAGAGATGTTTTAATAATAAAAATGAGACGATCTTGGGATTAGCCTCTCGATCAATTAACGGGAAACTAATCTCAAGCAAAGTGTATGAGCTTCTAAGAATTAAAGGAACGGTTAGGGCATGGATGAGTTTCATCTGGAAATCTTACATCCCCCCGAAACTCTCATTTAACGTTTGGTTGGCTTTAAGGAACCGGCTTCCTACCCAGGATAGCCTCGGTTATCTACACTTGGTAAATAGGTGTGACTCGTGCAAGGGTGGTTTGGAGACAATACCACACCTTTTCTTCCTTTGCCCCTTTACTTGTAGGGTATGGCATCATATTAGGAATTGGATGGGACTCGGACATGATATGACAACACTGTTGAGCGCCATCAAGTGGATCATGAAGACGCGCAAGGGATCAACGCTGAAGGCAAAGGCTGCCCGTTTAGTGTTCTGTGCCGCGGTCTACTACATTTGGCATGCAAGGAATGAGTTACGTTTTGATGGAGGATCGAAGACGGAAGAAGATATCATTGCTAAGATCAAGCATGTGGTGTATAAGGTCCTATATAGCCTATACCCGCATGACTTGATCAATTTCTGAGGGATGGCTGCTGGAGCCACGACATAACCGTTTTGGGACAAGTGTGTGCGCGCCTGGCAACACCTTGGATTTCTGTTTGGGCTAAGGGGAGTGTATACTATAACCTCCTCTTGACTGGGTTCCCTTTCTTTTTTTTTTGTGACCTGTGTGCGTGCACGCTTGCATCACCGAGTTATTTTTTTTGTGGTCTTGGGCATTTAGTATTGTATACTTAGGCCCCTTTTGATTTCGATTTAGATCGAACAAAAACCTCTCCTAACCCTTGACACGGGTGGGGTTTTTGGGAGATCTAGAACCTTCTTGATGTATAGTTTTCTTGGGTATTAATATATATTTACATTTCATCCAAAAAAAAAAATAAACATACACCCCAAATCTCGGAGTAGCAACATTTTGTCCCAGAAAGCTATAAGTTTTTTATTTTCTTTTTCCTTTATTTTTCCAACTAAATGAATACATAATTGTACACACACATGATTAAGTCCATTTAAACTACTAATTCACATTAAAAATGTAATGATCAAACAATTAACATTAAATTTAATTAAAAAAAATAATTAATTAAAAAATTAATTAATTTAAAAATTAATTAATTAATATTTAATTAAAAAATTTAATTAATTAATATTTAATTTAAAAATTTGATTAATTAATATTTAATTGAAAAATAATTAATTAATACTTAATAATTAATACTTAATAATTAATACTTAATAATTAATTTAATACTTAATAATTGATTTAATACTTAATAATTAATT